GCGCCATATTTACAATGTTGACAATATCCATCAGGCCGGTCTAAAGGTATTCGGGAGGTGCTTGGCTATCCTTACTGAGGTATTTTTCGCGATTTTCCTCGGTGTTTCCAGACAAATACCAGGATAAAATCTCGGTTAAGTAACGACCGCTTCCTTCCAAATCCTTTCTGAATTAATCCTTCTTCAGGTATCCTACCATCCGACACTATAAAGTCTACATACTGACAGAGTCTCTAAGTAATGCACCTAAAATGAGGATAATTCAACTCAATTCAATTCAATTCAATTCAATTCAAATCAATTCAATTCAATTCAATTCTTTATTATTTATGTGCCAAGTTAACAGCCGCAAGGCCAATTACAAACTTAGCACAGTGTAGATGAAAGTAATTACGTGTAACATTATACAAACATTAGACAAACACATTATAAGTCAAAAATAAATTATAGGAAAGTTCTTGGGAAAACACAGTAATGAAGAAAAGTAAACAAACAAGCAAATAAATGATAATAATAACAATAATAATAATAATTTCATTATCATAAAACTAGGTGTTATTTAGAAGTGAAAAGAAACATAAATATTTAATAATAATAATAATAATAATAATAATTCAATTCAAATCTTTATTATTTTTGTGCCGAGTAAACAGCTGCAAGGCCAATTACAGACACAGCACAGTGTAGATACAGGTAATTACATTATGGACAAACACTACATAAAGTTAAAGACAAATTACAGGCAAGCACTGGGGGAAAACACAATAATGCAGACAAGTAAACAAACAAATAAATGATATAATAGCAATGATAATAATAATTTCATTAACATAAAGCTAAGTGTTATTGAGAACTGAGGAATGAAACGTATAAATATTTAATTTATAATAATAATAATAATAATAATAATAATAATAATAATAATTCAATTTAATTCTTTGTTATTTATGTGCCGAGTAAACAGCTGCAAGGCCAATTACAGACAGAGCACAGTGTAGATACAAGTAATTACGTTATGGACAAACACAACATAAAGTTAAAGACAAATTACAGGCAAGCACTGGGGGAAAACACAACAATGCAGACAAGTAAACAAACAAATAAATGATATAATAGCAATGATAATAATAATTTCATTAACATAAATCTAAGTGTTATTGAGAACTGAGGAATGAAACGTATAAATATTTAATTTATAATAATAATAATGTAGCGTGTAGACCCGTTACTGGGTAAAGACGAGACAATATCCGCTGCTAGGCAACAATTTCATAATACGCAAATATACGCAGCCGTTATTGAATAAAGCCTTCGCAAACAAACGTGCTCCCACGGAAAGGATTGGAGTACAATAATAAGCGGTGATGAGATGTTATAAGGAGGACAATTGGAGAGAGAGTACAGAGCTGTAAGGGAGTATGTGAGAGCAGACTTAGTGCTGTTGCGGGATATTCGCCCGACAGTAACGACGCGAGCACAGAAGCTGAAACATCTCCATTGTTAAGATCCGTTACCGGGAAACGACTAGTGCAAGCAGACTGAGAAGGCTCAGCAGGTGCTGTAGTGATGTTATAGTTACTTGCAGTTACGATCTGTAGGTGGTCAATAAATTGAGTCACCAATTCAAAACCTCATTGATATTCACAGTCTAACACGTAATAATAATAATAATAATAAGGTAAAAACAGGTAAAGCTCTCTCTGTAACAGCCCTTGAAGGCCCATAGGATTGTGGGAGGTCGAGGCTCCAAAATTTTCTCTAGACAATCGGCTCACAGATGGCGGTGAGGTTGTCAGCCTTACGCGTCGGCGCCATTCACTCTCTTGGAATGTTCCTGGTATTCATTTCTGTTAGAGACTGAGTGGACCCCAGGGCCATATTGGGGGCTGGAAGGATTTGGTAAACTGAAAGGAAAAATCAATGACATCAACGAAAATCGAACCCGCGGCCACAGTGTCTCAACCAATTACGCCACAGCGTGCCGCAAATAATAATAATAACAACCATTTCCGACAGAGGCATGCGTTGGTTTCTTCTTCAATGGATCCAGATCTACGCTGGGTTCCACCCATCCTCCAAACAAATGGATAACAGAGGGAGGGGCTGACCCCCATATGAAAAGCGGCCGGATCTTGAATCTGAGTTATCATTTCCACTCCTCTATACACCTCCATGGAGTGTGCTTACACGCGGGACAGCTTTTTCTTTTGCAGAAGTAGTGCAGAGCAGTTTTGGCCACAAGAGATCGTAACGTAAACGTTAAATAAGGTAAGGTAAAGTAGAGTTGTCCCTGTAAGTACGACGTAATTAACTAATTGCTCATCATCACTCATGGAGCTGAGCCCTCCTTGAGAAGCCACCAATTCTGCAGCTACTCAAAAATTTCCCAGCATTTTATGGAACCCGAAGATTCATTACCGTGTTCACAAGAGCCCTCAACTAGTCCATATCCTCAGCCAGATCGATCCAGTCCATACCATCCCCTCCTGTCTCTGTGAGATCCATCTTCACCCTCTTCCTTCTTGGTCTTCCTAGTGGTCTCTTTCTCTCTGGCTTTCCCACCAATATCCTATATAACTAACTGATATAAAATAAATGGTAAGAAGGTAAGGAGAAAACTACAAGTCCCAAGAGACAGAGAAAAGATCCCATGCGTATCCAGTTGCTTCGCAGGGCTTCAGTAGTAATTAGTTCTCTACTTGCACGTAGAAACGTGTCAAGCGATTCGGCGTCATTCATGGAACCAAATGAACTTCTAAGTTTTTGCTATGATTACGTCCAGATGATAAATTAAGCAAGGAACTTCACGCCAGTTTAAGCCTCGGTTTGTCGATACTGCTGAATAATGGCAAAGAACTGGGAAGCCTCATGATGGACTTGCAAGCGGTAGACGTAACTGACAGCATTACAGTGAAGCCCAGTGGCTTATTATTATTATTAGCATCTACTAGGCCATATTAAGTTGATCATAATCCGCACGTAATGTATTTCAGTCTTTTTAACTACGATCCGTTCTGTAATCAAGGTGTCACAAGCTATTCTTCTCACGAAAGTAGGTTACCGCACGTGACCTGACGTCTATGATACAGATAAGATCTTTCATTCGTACATTAGTGCTGTCCAAACTGCGCAGTAAAAATAATCCAAGAACATTTGTGTAACTCATGACTTTTATTCAAGAAGTTGCAGGTTTGAATCTCGCTCGAGGAATGATTCTTGGATTAATATCTCAAGCGATTTATTATTTTTTCTTTATTAAAAGACGTCATCAATATGCAATATATTAATGAAATTTCATGAGTAAATATATCGGAATACTAAACAACATGGCGCCGATCACAGCGGTAGCCGCAGTCTAAGGCATGAACTGTCTTCGCTCGCTCGAACGCTGGAACGCTGGGATCTTGGGATCGAATCCCACTCGAGACATGGATTTCTGTGTGTGTGGGTACGGGCTAATCACTCGTCCCAAGAGAGCTACCGTCTGTGTAATATGATTATGAATGAACATATACGAGTACAATTTTTACCGTCAACGCAACAATTCTTTATTATTTATTTACTTATTTATTTATATAGCAGGCACTACATGTAAAAAAAAAGTAAAGCTATCCGTGAAAAAGCCGTGAAGGGCCATAGGGTTGTGAGACGTTGAGGGTCCCACATTATCTAGACAATCGGCTCGCAGATGGCGGTAAGGTTGTCAGCCTTATGAGCCGGCCACGCTTTACTCCCCAGGAAAATAATTTAATTAACTCCTGGTACACATTTCTGTTAGATGCTGAGTCAACCCCAGGGCCATAGTGCGGCTGGAAGGATTAGGTCAATTGAATCCAGTGACCTCATCGGGACTTGAACACGCGACCTTCCGGCTTGTAGTATAGCCCCTCAACCAACTACGCTACCTCGTGCCCACAGGCACCACACGTTTCGATCTCAAATGGGTCATCTTCACGTGCTGCAATTTTCTCACATCCAATGCTGAACTGTAAGGCTAACCTCCCCATTTTTATAAATGTTTCGTACAAGTTAGTTCCTATTCAGTTCACAAACTAGAAAAATCTAGACTAAGCACTGGGTAAATTGACAATAAAACAAAATGAGAATAAAAATCGTACACGTGATAAACTCGTATATACAACAAGAGGTTAAACCTAATTTAAAATGATCTTTCAAAGTATTATAAGCTGCGAGTAGCTTTATGTCCGTCACTGCGGTAGACCATGCATAGGCTTCGTCAGATTTCTTCTGCTGTTTGCTGCATTGGCTCGCCATGTTAGTATCGTGATGTTACCATTTTCCTAGAGAATAAATCCCTCTTCTTTCATGTTGTCGGGAGCCAATGGTCAATGTGTGTTTACATTACGTGGTTCCTTGCGCTGTGTGGTTCATTCTACCTACGAAACTGAAGAGGAGGCCAGGGCCCAACAAAGGGCTGTAGAGCCATTGATGAATAAATGAAATAACATGTCACTTTGGTCTACACCATTATCCGTGCATCTCCTGTGCCTTAAAGAGAGAAGTATTAACCCAGTATGAAATTCCCACCGGTGTGCGAATACCGGACGTATGCTGAAGACATATGTAGAACAATGACGTAACAATTACGTCACTATCGGATAATACGCAGTACAAAATCTCATAGACAAATAATAACAAAGCTGCGATGTAGAGGAAGATACAAACAAAAATAAACTCCGTGGCATGTAGTCCTCAAGTTAACTATACCGACCGAGAGACCGCCGCTATTCGGCGAAGTTAGTGCCAAATATAGCTGATAGAGAGTGTCACTTCGTCAGCGCAACGGATCCCCACGGCCGTTAATCTCGGTTTTCTAGACAGAAGCCGCTATTTCCTTGAAATAGCTCCTCAATTATCCTCACAAGGCTGAACGGAGGGAGGTACAAGGCAATAAAAATCTAAGCTGTTCTTGAAGAATGTCTGTACAGCGATGAGTGGATAATTCCTGATAACACATGCATATTTTCTGTGTGTTGCAGGGACCTACTTTATCCTCTACGACTTCTTGGACTATTTTGAGAAGGATAATCCGAGTTTTCTGAAACGGGACAAGTTCCTGGAAATCATCAACCTCATCTTCAAAAATACAACGCGCCTGGAGCGGGACGCCATTGTTTTTCAGGTCAGGCAAGAAAGCAGGTCAGAACAGAATGAACACTCTCGTGACATAATCAGAGGTTTCAATAGCAAAGCTCGCTAATAAATACATCTTCACACTGATCCATCCTGAGATCCTTAAAATGCATTTCAAAATTATCCTTCATTCTTCTTCTCGGCATTAAAAATAATAATTTTTCAAGAGGTTTTCCTACCACAATGTTTTATTAATGATGTCCCCCTGATCCATGTTATATACAAGAAATCACTCTCGTATCAATATTACAGGATTATATAAATCACTGAGTTCCACGCTGTATATATTAATTTACTGATTTATTTGGGGGGGGCAGTAGGTTACTTGGTTGAGGCACTATGCTACAAGCCGGAAGGTCGAGGGTTCGAATCCCGATGAGGTCATCAGATTTTTCAATTTACCTAATCCTTCCAGCCGTATTGTGGCCCTCGGGTCTACTCAGCCTCTAACAGAAATTAGTACCAGGAATATTCCTGGGGGTAAAGGGCAGCCGGCGCGTAAGGCTGACAACCTCACCGCCATCTGTGAGCCGATTGTCTAGAAAAATGTGGGAGCCTCGACGTGTCATAACCTTATGGGCCTCCACGACTTGTTACCTTACTGATTACTTTATTGTTCTTAGGTCTTAATATTTTCCGAAGAAATTTTATTTCCAGTATTTGTTATTTGTGTTCGTCACTTAAAGTAAGAGAGCTCGTGTCATATAACAACTTAAACAAATATTGTTTTCTATTTGCTGGCCTACAGAGGTTAGTAAGGTAGATACGACAGTAATAATAATTAAAATGAATAATAATAATAATCTTACGTAGGGCTGCAAATAAATTATTGGTGCCGCCAGGCTAACAAATTACCAGCCATCCATCGGCGAAATTTAAGAGGCATAAATATTGTGACATGTAGCCGTTTCTAAGAAACGAACTGGCAAACGTGCTACCGCGGAGATATGATTCTTAGACATAAACAGTCGCTGCGTGTTTGAAGGGCGTGTCCATGGATAGGAAATTGGAATCGTGTAGACTTTTGGGAACAGGAGCGTTGCTATGAAATTTACACACGTTTCCATGGAGAAGTGGAGGTGGAGTCTGAGACCAACTAAGTACAGAAGGCGCATCCGTGTCAGCGAAGATTCAAGAAAATTTTCCGCGGATACGATGAAGCAACGAACATTTTCCAGCTTACCGCTAGACTAGACTATATAAGTGTCCGCATCGAGAGCAATTGATTCACCTGCGAGTCGTAGGAGGCGACGAAAAGGGAAGTCTCAAATCCGAGACAGTAAAATATGGTCGCTAGTTTCAAGGGTCTCGGACCCGAGAAAGACTGCGCTGCATGTACAAATGAGAGATCCGTCCTCTCGTCAGAGAGGGCGCCCCACAAAAACAAGACCGTAACTGTCAAATACTAATAAATATCTGGTCATGAGAGCCAGAAGGGGCTCGATACCGAAACTTACTGACTGACTGACAGTCAGTCGCAATGTGACTTCGACTTTGACAATTGATTCAATGATTCATGACTTACAGATAATCCCGTGTGAAGGCGGGGTCGAATACCTCCGCCGTAGTCCTTTGAGTCGTAGGAGGCGACGAGTATGGAAGTCTTGAATATGAGAGAATAAAATATGGGCATGAGTTTCGTGGGACTCGGACCCGAGAATGACTGCTCTGGTAAAGGCCAGCAGCAATTCTAAACGACAGACCCGTCCTCTCGTCTGAGAGAGCGCCCCACATTAACAAACCCGCAAATGTCTGACAATAATAAGTATCTGGTCGTAAGCCCCAGATGGGTGCTTTATTCCAAGACAGACTAGCAGACTGACCGCCGGCCGTAACATAAGACTCAGACTCAGAATTGATTCATTCGGCATTGATTCTTAAATGAGAAGTGATTCGCAATTCATTCGTAAACCAGAAGTAAGTGAGCCGGGAATCAGAACAGAGTCAGTGGCAGTGAAAGGGAAGACGCTCGTGGTCCAGTAAGGGATGAAGTGAACCTTAGGCAGCCATTGACTGTGAGCTGTTATAATTCGTTGTGATTAAGAGAGTTGTCAATAAATCCAATGATCCCGTCCAGAACCCGTTACGTTTACCCATGCATACGTGACGATATGATAGTAGCGTAAGCGTAATAAGGCCATGTATTCACCTCAAGCGGAGTGCCACACTTTAAGATTGTCACTACATATGACGATCGCAATGTGTTGCTTCAAAACCGAGGTGTCCCGTGGGGTTTCTTGTTGCGCTGTTTGGATATGAGCTGTTCAGTAGCGTGGTTCGCAAAGGGACCCTTGTTGTCTGTTAGGTACGGTGGGGAAGAGGCGGATGTGTGCATTGACAGATGCTACCCTATCCCGTTGGTAGTCAGGTTATGAATTCTCATAGTCCCTAAGTGAAGAACTGATGTGACAAGCATGTAAATACCAGCTATTAACCACAACAATGCTAGTACTACCATGACATTTCTTAGTTGGAAATCAACAATACACAGATGTGTTGACATATACATTCTGGCTTGCGGTATGGTGTCTGAACGAACTACGCTACAGCGTGCCAACATCCAGTACAATGGCAGACACAAAATTACGAAAAACGCATTTCTGATCTTTCTGTACAGAGCTCCACCGCTGCTTTCTTGCAGTAGCTGTGAACGAGTTCCAATGAAAGCTCCAAGCGCTACGTCCTATTTTTGGATTCATATTTCCAGAAGTTCCGTGTGCCCGTAGCACCTGGTGACGTACCACGTCTCGTTCATAATTCCTGTTATTTTCGACGTCAGTATGACGTCACTCTCTTTATTCAGAAATAGAAAAACACAACCAACAGCGCTTTCTGGCCACGAACTAAAATATTTCAACAAATATGGAAGCATGTGATTCTTCTTTGCTTAATTTTCCCCCAATCACCTTTCGAACTTAGTGTGTCGATAACAAAGTGCTCTTCTAGCTTCTCGGGGTAGGGTGAGACTGAGTCCACTTGGTACGTCGGTCACTAATTGGCCTGTTGTACCGTCCACGGATGATGATAATGAACCTGGAGGATTCGGTGGAATGAGAATTGGCAGGGGTAATCGAAGTACTCGGAAAAATTCTGCCCCAGCGCCCTTTTGTTCAACACAAATCCCGCATGACCTGACCTGGGCTCGAACCAGGACCGCCGCGTTGGGAAATCAGCAACTAACCGCTCTGAGCTATGGCATGGCCGTAACAACCTGTTTATGAAGAGATCTAATTACTGCTTGCTGCGTGTATTTAATTAATGATACAACAAACAAACTGTGGTACTTCCCCGTATTCAGAATGTATTTGCTACTTAGTGTTTTCTATTATTTTATTTGCTCGGTGATTCCGCCATCAAATTCTTATACATTTCTACCCTCCTTCAGTGTTATTCCTTGATCTAAGATTCGCGTCCATCTGTCTATTTCTGCAAAATTTACTTAGGAACCTGCAGATTGGACTTCGGAATTTCATTTAATATATTCCATGAACGTTTTCATTTCTAAGATGTTATATCTTCTAGGACATAATGCCGTGCTGTCCTTTGAAAGGTAACGGATGTTTCGTCTCCATTAAAGCGACACGATCCTCCGAAAGGACGATTTCTTTCACCGGACTACACGGCGTTTTACTGCGGAATGCAGATATGTTCATAACCACGGCTGTGAGAACCTCAAATCTTACATTTTATTATTATTTTGAGTGTTAATTCCATGTTTGTGGTTTGCCTATGACTTGCACTACAAATTGTAGTAACCGTTTATAGGATTAATATCATCAGCTCCTACCGTCGAGAAAACACAGAAACTCTACAGCTGTATTTAATTCATTATTCCTATATTGAAAAGTAATATTACTGATCAAATTTGAAAGTGAATATGATCACCACAGATTTTAAGATATAGGCTTCAAATTATAGCGCTGACGCAGTTTTAATGACATGATAGATGCGGATAGAGGGTTTCGCGTGATCTTGGCAACGGATCCCCACGGCCGTTAATCTCGGTTTTNTTAAAAGTACATAATAAAATCCTCAATTTCCTTAGAGTATGGAATAAAACTAAGGCACACAATTAAATCTGACTTAATTTTTTTTAATTCGCTTAGTGGGTGGTGGAGTCCAACTGGATCCACTCGGCACGGCGGCCACTGATTGGCCTATTGTAGCCTGCCCAGGGTGATTATGATGATGGAGAATTTGGTGGAATGAAGATTAGCAGGGGAAACCGAAGTACTCGGAGAAAACCTGTCCCTGCGCCACTTTGACCACCACAAATACCACTTGACATGACCCCGGGATCGAACCCGGACCGCCGCGTTTGGAAGCCAGCGACTAACCGCTTGAGCTATGGCGCGGCCTAAATCTGGCTTAATAAAGAGAATATATTGAAATGTATGAGGTAAATCTTTGTATTAAAAAAATTCCGTGTCCTGTAGGCCGCAAGCGAACTATACCGACCGAGCGACAGCCACTTTTCGGCGAAGTTAATGCCAACCTTTGCGGATAGAGGGTTTCGCGTGATCTTGGCAACGGATCCCCACGGCCGTTAATCTCGGTTTTCTAGACCGGAGCCGCTATTTCCTTGAAATAGCTCCTCAGTTATCCTCACGAGGCTGAATGGACCCCGTTCCAGACCCACTACTTCTCAGAAAAACTGGTAGCCCTGAGAATCGAACCCGGGAACTCTGATCAATGGATCACAGAGGGCTTCAAATTATAGCGCTGAGGCAGTTTTGATATCATGACCTCCATACCTAATTTCAATAAAATAGGCATAATTGTTTCATAAGTAATGTGTCTCACAGTTGAACAGTACATAATCAAATCCACAATTTCCTTAGAGTATGGAATAAAAACTAAGGCACACAATTAAGTCTGACTTAATAAAGAAATTATAATGAAATGTATGAGGTAAATCTTGATATATTTGGGGGAATACTTGCCACTGAGAACACTGAGCGGCTGCTCGCACCCGTTCTGAGCACAGGA